ATCCTCAAATCTTGTGTTTATCCCTCGGGGTAGATATAAGATTTGAGGTAAAGTGCTCTTTCATTTAAACTGTGAAAAATATGAGGTCAGTTTGATTTCGTATTTTTCTAAAATTATATATATATACGTAAATTAAAAAGTCCTTCCGAAGCGGGCGACGGGATTTCGATTCCGGCGACCGACAGCTTCTTACGGGCGACCCCCAAACATTAACTTTTCCCCTTTTAAGCGCCGACAGAAGAAAAAACAAAGGCTCTCGGTAGCTCGCGCGTCATTGATTCTCTTTCATTACCTTGAGATTCCATTAATGGGGTAGTGGGAGTAAACTCAAAACTAAAAGTGCATTGCATGTTTTGAGTTGCTGGAATTCACGGTATGATGGTCAGGTTGAGGTTCGATTGGTAGAATGAGAGAGCATAATTCTAAATTGGGCTAGGGCAGATCCTTGGCGGCCATTAGAATAATAATAATAAAAAAAAGCAGAAAGATAGATCGAGCCCAATAAACCTAAAGAGATGAAGCAATAACAGGAAGAACTAGCTAAGCACAACTATTTGAGCCAGCTTTATGTATCCTCCTCCACGCACTTCTATTGAATGTTCCGGACAGCGTTGGCTCCATTTTGCACGCCTTTCTAAACATCTTCTATGCATATATTACCATCACTTCACCTCTCTTCAATCCTAATGCATAACATTGTAACTAACCAATGCACTCAATGTACAACTCAAACTCGGTTCAACTGATACTCGATCAAACTTGTTTATAATTCAACAATTAACTTGTTAAATACTCTATAATTATATGATATATTATCTAAATAAAATTTAATTAATTATAACTTCATTTAATTAAAAATTGATCTTAATTTATTAGAATTAATTGAAAATATGACACTAGATAAGACACAATGGAGAAAAAGGATTATCAGTGGAATTAAGGCTTTGTTGTTGTTGTTCATTTAATTATCAGTAAAACACCAAAATAGTCGCCAAATAATTACATTGGACCATTTTAGTCCTAGAGTTTATGAAAGTGCCAAATTGATCCCCACACTCTTTAAATTTGGGTTAAAATTATCTCTAAGGAGGACTAATTAGAGCACCAATTTAAAAATCTCAAGAACTAAAACGACCCTATGTAAATAGTCAAAGGACTATTTTGGCACTTTGCTCATTTAATTATATATTAAATAATAACATATTATAATTTATTATCTATGAGCATATGTATGGAATGCAATTTCTTCACAATTTATTATATTATTTAATCGGTGAACATTAATTAAATATTAATTCAAAATCTATTTGTTTGTTAAATTGTTTAGATTTGAAAAATTTTTTGCTAATAATTTTATAAAAAAATCAAGTACTTATTCAAACTTTTGGCTTGTTTATTAAGTCATTTAAATACTCATTCAATTAATATAAACAAGCTAAGTACCACCCACTATGATTATTAAAAAAATTATATAAGCCTAGGTATGATAATATATGAGAAATCTCAATTCGAGTTTGATTCAAACATGAACAACTTAAAATATGATCAATCCAAGTCTAATCCATGATATACTTGACTAGCTTAAAACTTGTCGAAAAAAATCATGACATGAATCCTTTTGATCCGATTAGGAGAGTAGATGTTTTAGATTCGACTTGTGTTAAGAAAGGCAGAGATAGACCTAGGAAGATTTGGGCTTATTGTATTAAAAATGATCTTAATTTACTAGAACTAAATGAAAATTGACACTAAATAGGACGCAATGGAGAAAAAAGATTCATGTAGTCGACCCCACGTAGTGGGATTAAGGCTTTGTTGTTGTTGTTGATCTTTATTAGAGCATCTTTAACTAGCAATTATGCAAATCCAAATGAACTAGTCTATTTTGAATCATCATAATTCTCAGCAGGTACTACTATCTACCATCTCTCTAATATAATCATTTTTACAATATTTCCCTTATTTTATCACTCATTTATCTTAAAATTCTCATTTTTCTCACAATAAATTTTATCAATAACATTTTTATTGCCGAGATCCATATAATAAGTCTAGTCAAATTACAACTTCATACAATTTTGAAATCTCCACAAGGGCACTTTCTATTTAAACACTCAACTTAAATTTTCAAAGTTTTGTCTGCAAATACTTAAATGTTTTTTGCAGAATATTCAAAATATTCATTATCACATCCAGATATCGGTAGATCTCAATCACCATCTTTCATGTCTACAATATATATTGTCAAACACCAGAGCAAATTAAGATTATACATGTTCTCAAAAGAGCCCACACTATTCAACATTTTAAACAATGAATTTTATTTATTAAGAGATTAATAAGAAATTTTAGGAATTAAATCTCCTACAAAAAACTCCAAAGAAATTATTGCTTCATCTACATGTATGATAAATTAAATATTAAAAGTAGAAAATCACAATTAGTGTAATTGTATCAATTAATATGTACAACAAAATTTTATTGTCACACTAAAATTAATTTAGTCGTCTGAATCATCATCATCATCATCATCATTAGCCTTATACCAACAATATGAAAATCTATTCATCAAACATTCTACAACTGCTAAATTTGCGACAGTAAAATTGCATACTATATTTCAAATATATTAACATATTAAACTATACAGAATCTTACAATTGATAACAAAACCTGATGCCAGAAAATCAAATGTATAGTTGCATATTTTATCTCAAATATTAAACATAGTGAATTGAACAAAATCTTAAAAAAGACAGCAAAAGTAGCAGCCAAAAATAAAGATTGGAAGTACTCCTACTTGATGCTGAATGTGAAACTCAGTAGAGCATTTTAAAACAAAAACATAAACAGGCTGTTAAACCTTGGCAGAAATAATAATAAGGGTAATAACTTCACCTTGTAGATCTCATGAAGCAACTGCCGCATGTAATGTCTCAAAAGGATATCCTGTATTGATTCAGGACTAGCCATGAGATGTTCCAGCGTTAGCTGCCTAAGGTGAACAGGCACTCCTTCAACATCAACAAGAGCCATAATACCTCTCTGCATTCAAATTTGGTATCATTGCTCAAAAGAAGTTGAATAACAAATGAAGCAAGAAATTGAAGATAATTTAAAATCATAAGGAAATACGCTTTAATATTTTAATACCAATAATAGGTTCGATTATCACACTATTATCATTCGATGGGGATAAGAGAGAACTTTTATTGCGTACATTGTTACAAACATGGCGAGGTGTTTGATAGTGTAAGATATGCCACTCAACCAAGATTCAAGGACACAATACGAGTATATATACTCCTCTTTCACGTACTAGAGTCACTTTGGATAAATATAGGCATGAACTTTGTTGTGGGCTTCCACAAACCTATGGAGTAAAAAATTCAATTATGGGGGTAGTAAACCACTTCTCCAAGACCAAAACTATCACTTAAGACTGATTTGGAGTTCCAGAGTTATTTCTGAAGGGGGGGGGTGGGGGGAGGGGGCTAGGTACAAAGCTCCAATTCATTTAAATAGGGCATCCACAGACAAATGAACAGACTGAAGTTGTGAATCACAGTTTAGAAATCTTCTTGGATGCTTGGTGGATAAAATAGTAAGCATTGGGCTTTGATCATTCTGCAAATTTAATTTGCTTATAATAGGTCCAGTAATAGAATCACAGAAAACAACCCTTTTGAGATTGTATAGAGACGGAAACTGTTCATACCATTAGAGTAAGTGCCAATTCATATATTTACTGAGCTTACTACCAATGTAGCTTTCAGAATCAGAGATATTCAAATTCTAAATGAGCAGGTGTAACGGATATTCAGATTTTTAAATTCTACACATAAAGGCCAGGGACAGAGATATGTACATTATAAATGCGAAGGCCAGAGTAAGAGATATTTAAAAGTGCTCTCTCATGACCGAAAAAGTAATTAATCATAAGGATTGTGCTTATGGGACATTTAAAACTAAGAACATAAAGCCTCATAAGAGGACAGTGTTAAGCTATTATCTTATTTGATATCCAAAAATTTTCTAGAAAATCAAAAAGACATACAACTTATCTTGAACAGAACTAGGTGGGTATTTTCGAAGCACAAAATGGTTTCTGAATGATAAGAAATTTGTCAAATCTTTTCATACCAATTTTAATTTCAGTGATGTGAATTTTAAAAACAACATTACAAAATATTTGTGAAACTTCATCATCAATTGGAAAAAGTAAATTGAATTTTTTTTAACTAATTTCTGCATAAAATAAAGCTGGGAAATTATGTATTGTGACGTTTTGTATGTTTCTTGAATTTCATCATGCATCTCCTTTTAGATTTACATTAATGAACCCCAGATTCTAAGCTATACCATTGCAGACTTAAAGAAGAGGTCATTCTAAGCTATAGCAGACTTAACGCAGAGATGGAGTGAAGAAAATTATAGCTATTAAAGGCAGAATATCACTATCATACAGAATAGCAAATCATTCTCACCTGAAATGCAGTACTACTGATAAGAGTAAGATATTCCACTTCAGCAAAAGCTTTGGCTCGGATCATCAATGGAGTGCTTGAAAAGCTTGTAAAAATGAAGTTTATTTTTGTTACAACAGATACGATAACTTAATAAAGCTTCCAGAAAGTTATTTGCAAATCACCTACCTAAGGGATAGCTTGATTGGCGCCAATTCAAGACTTTCAACATATACCTTTTTCTGCCTTCTGACTAATGAATGAATCTGTTGCCATGGAGCTCCCATTGGGACTACAGCAGGTAACAAGGAATTAGCATCAGTCTCAATAACTGCAGTTGTCCTTAAAATATCATTATGTCCACACGAATAAATGTGACCCTGAGCATTCTTATGTTTTGCATCAATACAACAACCTAAAATTCGCTGCTCAAAATTCTTAAGTGATGTTCTCTGCATTCTTGAATTTACAGTTCGAAAAAAATCAAACAAGCATAAGAGAATTTGTTCTTCAAGCTCAATAGACAAAGAAGCCAATCTGCAATATAATTAAAAAATTAGTACTAATAAAACCCGTAAAGCTTATTAGTATAAAATAACTTGAATTATAAACAAGAAGCTACCTAAAGGTTATGTATTCAAATGAAATCAAAGAAACATCAGATTTCCTCCATTTGGCTGCAGAAAAATATAATACAGGTTCATTTGTAACATATGAACTTGTACTGTCAAGCTGACTATGCAACCAGTTTTCCTGATTTTTTGAATGATTTAAAGATCTTTCTCTGAACTCATTATCAAAAGAGACTACTATAGGGTATGGAGTATCGGACAGTTGATTATCAATCTGAAGTGACAAAATTTGAGTCAAAATCTTCTGCTGCTCTGAATTCTGCATTAGGACAACTGTTGTGTCCCTAGCACAAGCAAATATCAATTCCTGAAAGTATAAAAAAAAATTATGAAAATTATTACAAAACAATTTATCAAATATTCATGATTTGTGCAGTTTCAAAATATAATTCTCAGCATTTTCACCTGAGGGGCTGAACTCATCAGGGAGATTCCAATAAAAGACAAATGAATTTTTATCACTTCATTGAAATGAGCTTGTTGGTTGAGTGTCTGATCTGTTTTTCTTTTCTCCTTGAATCCAAAAAAATTACTTCCTTTTACATCTCTTATAATGTGATAACTTGAGTCAATTATACTGAGCACCTGCAATGAAAAAAAGGAAATCATTGATTGGTTATCCTATTATAATATATGCATAAAGATTACAAAAACAAACCTTTGTTGCTCCTTCGGCATGCACTGAAACAGAAAATCTTCTTTCCGGCTTCTGCAAATGATTTATAAGGTCAAGAGAGCAAAAGGGAGTTCTCCAAAATCATGTCTACTACAAGTAAGCAACATACTCATGCCAATAAGAAAATTTCAAACGATACATGTCATCCTTAGATATGCTCTAAACAATACAAAAAGTACAAATAACTTGATGCCAAAGGGGGATAATCAGTGTTTAATTCAGAGTTTGTGACTCCAGCCTTTGTTTGTCATCTAAAATATAGAAGAATTGGGATCCCGGCATTTACCAATCAAAGTTGAGGTAGCAGAATGAACATGATGTGTTCTTCCAAACGAAAACAACAAACCAGATAAAATTTCAAAGAAAATTGGAATCCAATCATTTGCATTGGATGTAAGAGAGTAATTAACATGCTCAACATATAGCTCAGCATTTTACTCATCCAAAGAGAGTTCCGCACAAGTAAAAAAAATGGAAATCATAACCGAGATAAATATACAAGAAACATCAAATCATCAAAACGCTAGTCATTATGAGCTATCACATTTTGCATTTCGCTTGATTCATTAAAATAGAGTACCTCATATGTTGAAGGAAAACACACAGAGGCATACTCTTGTACATTATCAAGATTATATGTTCCCACAATTCTTTCACCAGGTACCTACAGTCACAAAAATTAGTATGCATAATGAAAGAGTTGAACGTAAGGAACATGGGAAGGGGAAAACCTCAACAACAATACGATGTGGATAACAAAGTTCATCCCAAGCATACTCGCATGATGTGTACGGATGCACAACAGTTTCAACAGATTCACACTTTTGCTGGTAAATCCGCAATCTCTGCCATACCAAAAAGAAGACATATTAGAAATATACGAGAAATAGCAAATTCAAGAATGCACGAATAATGACAGAACATTGCATAGTTAATAGTGACTGAACATTAGATCCCTGACAAGTGACAAGTCCTAATATGAATTACTGCTAAATTTTACTCATGAAATAAAGAACTTAGAAATTCAAGCTTTAAAGAATGCTTTATACACCATATTTCATGGATGAATTTCGAAAACAATCACAGAAAACAAATCTATTGCACTAGAAAAAAACAAGAAAAAAGGTAAACTTTAAGTGGGTTGCTTCAGACTGTTGACCCCTGCATATGATTCATAAGAAGTTAAACAAACATGCCTAAGACAGCAAGCATTGAACTCGATGTCCCATAAATCAAGGATAATTCACTTCGAACATCATCGAGACAACTTAACTAACGTTTGTTTGCAAGACGGACTCCGCCGTTGAGTTTAGAACCAAGAAGAGATGTGTAACATGATCAAAACGACCAAAGACAATGCAAATGACGGGTTGTTAGTGTGACATGTAATTTGGACCTGAGTCATCTTGACCATGGCCAAAAGTTATTCAAAAAAGCTCCGTTCCCAAAACAGACTGCGCGAGCGCGTCTGGAAAGTCGACTTTACCTAAAAAGGGGCACACCTTGCGAAGCTTCGACACATTAATCAATGACACGTAAAAGAAAATTATTATATTGAAGAGATATATCGACAATTTCGCCGAGTGCTACAACGACCGGATAAAATTGAAGAAAGGAGAATTCAGATAATACAAAGATGAAGTGCCCCTTAGAGATTTCAGAGATAAAAAAGCTTCTACCCCGAAGAATTGACTTGAAATATTAGAGAAACTAGAATTTTGAGGTGATTGCAAATTTGACACATTTAATGGTCACTTGGATCCAGATGAGTTCAATTAGTGGCTTCTAACAATGAAACTTTTCTTCGAGTACCAGGACGTCCTACCAGATGAAAAGGCGAAACTAGCTGCCGACAAGTTAAAGAAAAGTGCATTATCTGGTGAAAAAAATTGAAGCATCTATATCGGCGTGAAGGAAAAAATAAGCTCAGTACTTTAACCCATATGGAGTGGGAGAAATAGCACAGTACCTATCAGTTCATTACATAGAAGATTTATAGACCCTAATTTCAAATTCGAGAGAAAATATTATTGGATGACCACTACATCTTACACGCAAAGTTTAACCCTGAAATACTACAACAAAAATACACTCAAAAGAACATCCAAGTCAACCACGACCAAAAAGCCACCAGGTTAGAGTAATAACATGTGAAACCAATCCGCATTCCCAAATCTGTCTCAGCTAGGAAGTGTTTCAACTGCCATGAATTTGGGCATACCAAAATAGATTAGACGACCAAGAGAATGGTCTCTTTCACGGACGAAGAAACAGTTAAGAAATCAACAATGATCCAGGAGTAGATGAAGCTTATAGAGAGAATTCTAAACTTCCACCCAATGAAGAAAAGACAACATCGATTCCAGTTGAACTTTGGAGAGAGGTTCCAACTGAGTTGACAGTAGATGTTCTAGAAGGTAGTGGGTCTGAACATTCATGTAAAGTGTGAGGTTGCCGTGTCTCGAAGTGCCTTTTTACAAGCATTAAGAGGAGCATTGTGTCACACTCCGCCATCTTCAAGAAATTGACAAGACAACCATGGAATGAAAGATTCTAGAGAAAACCAACATATAGAGAGCAAGCCAAGAGACTCTAGAAGACTCCACCATATTCTAGAGAATGTTAGAAAGACTCCAAGGATAACTCAAGAATAACTTAGAAAGGTCTAAGGTTATATATGTATATAAGAGATTAATGTAGAACTATCTAGAAATTAATATATTCTAATGTAATCTAGAAAATTCTCATGGGCTTCGAGGGGAATATAAATAGGAATCCCTCCCTTCATTTGAAATCCATCCAAAAACCATCCAAGGTTCTAAGCATTGAAGTGCTGTAATCACTCTTTCTTAGTGAAGTGCACCTTTCTCCAATACTTCTCACTATTCTTCTTCCAAGAGTGAATGGCGTGAAGGCCCATATAGAGGATCTTGGCCAAAAGGTTGGACTCGAGGAGTACATCACGATCCATTTGGCGATTAGAGATATGATGCAGCAACTGGAGGAGTTTTTAAGGGACCAAATGGCTAAGATGCGGGAGAACTTGATAGGTTGCTCCAGGAGATATGGAGACCCTATGGAGATGAGATGAAAGGCGTACGTGATAGTTTGGAGGAGATTCGTGGAGACATTTCACTACGTAAGAGAGCACTAGCGACATCCACCAATAATCATACTTTCAAAGCCAAACACAATCAAATACCAAAACCTAAGAGTTTTGGGGGTGCTCGCAACGCAAAGAAAATAGACTACTTCCTGTGAGACTTGACCAATAATTTGGAGCGATAGAGATTAAGGATGAAGAGACAATAATAAAATTTGTAACACTTTATCTCTCAACTATCGCTATGTTGTGGTGGAGAAGAAGACGTGGAGAGATCGAAAAAAGTATGTGCACCATATTCACCTTTGATGACCTCAAAAAAGAGCAAAAGAGGCAATTCTACCCTGAGAATGAGGAGGATGAGGATATAGCCTGATTGCGAAGGCTCAAACCAGAGGGATTGATTTAGAAATATATTAAGGAGTTCACAAGGCTTGTTCTTAAAATTCTCGACATGCCACTGCCAACACAATCGCCGACAACCTAATTGATTACTCAAAAGAGTCTACAAAGCCTAAAGATAAGAAGAATACCAATGTCAAAGGTGGGAAAGACAAGGTTCAACACAAGAAAAAGACCCGCCATGAATCGACTTAATCCAAGGCAAAAGACAAACAAAAATTTAAAAACGACAAAACTAAACCACACAACAAATGCTTTCTTTATGATGAAACATATTGGGTAAGGGATTGTTCTCAGAAGAAAACTCTAAACTCTCTCCTTGCAAGTTATCAAGAGAAAGAAGGCGGTGATACGCAACACAAGTAAGGGCTATACAACTGTTAAATGAGATGTAAGTTCCAACAAAACCCCAAGCAAAGGAGTTACTCTTTGTGGAGATGGTAATAGGCGGGAAGACCACTGGAGCAATGGTGGATACGAGTGCTTCTCACAACTTCATCTCCATCGATGAAGCAACAATGTTGGGTTTGTGAATGACTAAAGGAGAATGCTCCATAAAGGTAATCAATTCAGCACTAAGGCCAATCCATAGGATAGCCAGAAGAATAAAGACAAGTATTGGAGCGGTCAGATACCTTATATTTCTCTGTCATTCCAATGGATGATTTTAAAGTTGTTCTAAGGATAAACTTCTTGAATCAAGCAAGAGTGTTCCCAATGCCCTTCGCCAATAGCATGTGTATCATGGAAAGGAATTGAGCTTGCTTAGTACCGACAACAAGGGCTAACAAACAGGAAGTCATAATACTATCAGTCATCCAGTTCAAGAAGGGCATTCCACAAAATGAGGAGAGCTACTTGGCTATTCTTCATGATTCCAATGAGAAAGAAAAGCCCCAAGAAGACATGCAAAGGGAAGTGGTGGTAGTGCTTGAAGAATATAAAGATGTTTCACCAAAATTATAAAAAAAAAACTACTACCAAGAAGAGAGAAAGATCATCAAATTAGGCTGGAGCCAAGGGCCAAGTCGCCAGCCATGAAGTCGTATTGCATGGAATTCCTCCCCCATGCAACCAATTTTAAAGAGAAAAACCAAATAGCTTTCAAGTTTGCCAAGTCTGTGAGCAAGCAAAAAGAGTAAGTCCGCGTGTCACTGCGTGAAACTACAAGAACTAAAAAAATGGGTAGACAAGAAAATGAGATGCGAAGACACGTGGAGAAAAAAAAAAGACAATATCAAGTGGAAGCCGCAATGAGGGCATTGCGAGTTTAAGTGGAGGAGAGTATCAAAGTCCGTCATCTTCAAGAAATTGATAATATAACCATGGAATGAAATATTCTAGAGAGGATCAAAATATAGAGAGCAAGCCAAGGGACACTAGAAGACTCCACCACATTCTAGGAAATGTTAGAAGGTACAACTCCAAGGATAACTTAAGAATAACCTAGAAAGATCTAGGGTTATGTATGTATATTAGAGATTAATGCAAAGCTATCTAGAAATTAGTATATTCTAATGTTATCTAGAAAATTTCCTTTGACTTGGAGGGTACTATAAATAGAAATTAGTATTTTCTCCGCTCATTAAATCCATCTAAGAACCATCCAAGGTTCCAAGCATTCAAGTGTTGTGATCACTCTTGCTTAGAGATGTATTCCTTTCTCCAATATTTCTCCATTTTCTTCTTCCAAGAGTATTGGGAGCTTACAATTCCAAGATTTGTGGGAGTGAGGCTGACTTAGTGCCAAGGAAGAACACTAAAGTCGCACGGGCGACTTGGGATAAGTTAGTTCATGACAATCGGCTAACATTCGATGTCATAAATGACCATGTGTCTGAAGATCAGTTACCAAACACGAGGCAACCTCAAGTAAGATAATTTAAGAATTTTCAGATATATAACATACCTCTTGAATTGAACCCACTGAGGGAGGTCCAACTTGTCAGAGATGAGAAGATTTTGGGTCATTTTTAAAAGACAATAAGAACTCATTTGGGTATTAAAATCAGTTTAGCAGTGTATCCCCTAACAGAGGATCTGGTAGTATGAATAAGCCAAAACTTTAAAAATTGTATAAGGAGCTTGATAGAAAAGAAAACCTTACAATAAGATCTGGGCATACCAGAGAAGGATATATCTCTCCTGAGTGGTTGGCCATGCCCAACATGCCATCGATTTCATCCTAAAGTTGAATTCTACTTACATACTTGTTTACATTTACGCTCAAATGAGTTTGAGTAGAAGAAGTCAATGACAGATTTAATGGCTCGAGGCTGGGTTCATGAGGATTCCCATCCATGTGTATTTCTAGCTCATAACGTGCCAAAAGAGGAGAGA